ACCTGCTATAGAAGGTAAAAAAGACTGAAGTGGGAGGTCACATATAAGTTGGTGTATTAATTCTATACAAATTAAAGTTTATGTACCAAGTGGGAAACAGTGAAAGTTTGTGTACCTTGGGTGAAATTTACCCTATAAACTAATATTTTACTATGAGCAAGTTCAAGTAGATAATAATCAATAAATACTCTGTTTGTTTCATAGCATAAAATAAATAAATAGATTATTGATTTTATAATGTAACATGAAAAAAGGCATATTTACACAAAACTACAATAATGTATAAAATCAATGCCTAATAGCTAGGACATACTGATAAAATTTTACATATTTTTTAATAAGATTTCTAATCATTTTAGGTATTATATGATATGGAGAAATAATTTCTAGGAATAATCATTATTTTATAATCATTCCTAAAATGAATTATATCTGTATTAAGAAAATTGCATAATTTATAATTTTTACACTTTACTTTATAGCCCATATTTGTTACATGCGCAAAGAACAATGCAGCACTAGGGGGTCAAGCGTGCCTAAATCCGAGGTGCAAGGCAAGGCGCGCACCTGAGACATGAGGCGCACCACAACAAATTTAAAAAAAATCAATGACCACTAGTAATATTTTTGAGTGCGGATCCTCCGCAGTCTGTCCTGTTGACAGGACCGACTGTGGACCGTCCGATCAAAATGGACAGCCAAGATCAAACTCATTTTGGCTGTCCATTTTGATCGGACAGCTGGCGGTCCATCTTGTCAACAGGACAAACTGTAGAGGATCCCAACTCAATATTTTTAAAATGCAAAATATAGTCGAATCGATAGACTAGTAAATGAACCAATTGAAAAAAGACGAAATAAGTGATAGTTAAATGGATTTTTTAATCTATACAGGAAACAAATCAAATGTAAGAAGGAAAGAAATAAGAGATAGACTAAAGATAGACATTGATTTAATTATTTTACCTAAACTAATAATTTATTTTATGTGCTATTTAAACTTTTTCTTAAAATAATCCTTAATTTTATATTCCATTTAAATTTTTTTTCTAAACTAATCTT